TAGCCAAAACTAGTCTCCCCAGACAGCATTGCCGTGTTGGCTGGAGCTATCTCCCACTGAAGGAGGTGACCAGAGGTAGGGACAGTTTCAGACAGCCTCCCTAGGGAAGACTGCACAGTGACATGGAAACCACCATCCCTTAATTCTCTCCCAGGTGCAGGCAACCTGTAATGTTGAGCAGTCAGCCTTCAACGACTGGTTCTGTGGCCACCTCAATTTCCAGATCGAGCACCAGTGAGTGGGGAGACCCGGGAAGCAGAGGGTGGGGGAGGGGCAGAGGAGCAGAAGCCACTGACTACCCTGCTGTCCCTGAAGCCTCTTCCCCACGATGCCACGACACAACTACTACAAAGTGGCACCTCTGGTGCAATCCCTGTGCACCAAGCACGGCATCGAGTACAAGACCAAGCCCCTACTCTCAGCCTTCGCTGACATTGTTTAGTGAGTATGAACCTGGGGAATTAGCAGCAGGGAACAACAGAGGGTGGTGTGGCATGGAGTGTGTGTGTGTGGGGGGGGTGTTCCTGGTCATCTGCAGTGGCATCACCATGGCAGCGGCAGGGTGGTATTGGTCTGTGACCAGGCTAGCTTCTTCGGGGTGGGGGAGCACGTGAGGGGAAGAGGACATGTCTGCAGGTGGATGACTCAGCCCCCACCTCCCTCCCTGTCCGCCCCTGTTGTCCCTCCAGCTCACTGAAGGAGTCGGGGCAGCTCTGGTTGGAGGCGTATCTTCACCAATAGCAGCAGCAGTCCTCCATCCAGGAGAGAAGAGGACAGCTGGAGTCAAAGCAGTCGGAGCTGGAGGAACAATGCCATTATGAATTGAATGTTCAAGGGGTTAGGGGATGTAGATGTTTGTGTTCATACCTGCCCCCTTTGCCTTCTGAGTACCAAACTTGAGGGGAAAACTGCTGAGGTAGGGATATAAAGATGTTCTGTTGTTTCTTGTACTTCGGCAGAGGTAAATGGTGGCCCAATGGAACCCAGCACGAAGCAGGAACCTCACCCTAGAACCCCCCTCTTATCTCACTAGGCTATGTCTCCACTCTCTACCCTCTCCATTAGTCTCTTGGCCTTTGAACAAGATTTAGAAAGGGGGCATTCATGCATAGCATCCTGAAACCTGGCACAGTTCCCTGCCCAGCTTAGCTTGCTGCTGAGAGCTGTGTGTGACCATGTCTGCCTCTGACTGCTGGGAGAAGCTGTAGGCAGGGCAAAGGCCAGGGCTGTGGTTTGAGAGGTATTTGACCCTGGAGGATCCTGGCATGAGTAATTCTGGTTTCCTGTTCCATCCAGGTTTCAGAGAGAACATGAGATCCTAGCTCTTGACAAAATGGATGACAGAGTTACATCTGTTGATTCACCTCTTTTAACCAGTTCCCAAGGAATACACAAGCAAGGAAGGGGCTTCCCTCCTCCTGGACAAATTAGGCTCCCATACCTGCAGTTTCCTTTTATGTCACAGCCTGTAATTCTGAGTTCCAGAAAACAGCCATCAGCACAAATGGCCGAGGTTTCCATCACGAAAGTGTCAGCGCTCTAAGCAGACATGTCCCTCCATATTCCCCGTGTCACGTTCCAGCATTGTGTAGCACGATCCCATGTCACAAACCATAAAGTTAGTACCAATGAGGTCTATGCATGCCGCCACTGCTCCAGCAAGGCAGCTCCTCTGCTTGTTCAAGTGTCTTATTCTTCTGGAGGCCAGCCAAGAATTTAGGTAACTTCTGACAAAGCTTGTCAGTCTAACAATGAAATAGGGTTTTGTAATCTGGTTTTATAAAAGGTATGAAAATTAAACTCACTCTCCCAGAGAACATAGGAGTGTGCCCAGGGAAGTTGAACTCCTGCACATCCACATGTGTGCTCCCGTTCCCCAAACCCACGGGCATTATTTCATTGCCTGTTCAACCGTATTAACCATCTGGAATTAGAGAACCTCAAGCAGAAGGCAAAGCAAAAAGCACGTTTGTGGAGAAATGGCAGATGGTCAAGATGAGGGTGTTTGTGTTAAAGATGTTGGGGTATGGTATGGTGACCAGCAGGATTCCTTAAATTTTCTGTGGGGGTACAGTAGGGTGACAAGCAGGGTTCCATAAGTTTTCTATGACAATGCCCAGGGAGGGGAGGTTGTAGAAGCTCAGATCTTTCCCAGGGGCTGGCCCTGCTGGAAAACCTGTCTGAAGCAGGCTGGATAGGAAAATCTTTATTGGCTCCCTCCCTCCCTCCAGAATAGGTGCTGTCCCTTCCCATCCCTGCTCCTGGCCACCTGGGGCAAGGCTGTGACACTACCAGCCTGTCAAGCCCACTGGCTTTGAGCCTTTAGCTGCCAGGCTGAGCTCAGTTGTACCAGACCAGGTCTTCAGAGCACCTGAACCACTGTGGCCTTCCTCAGCCTTCACTGTGGCCTTTGCATAGGCAGGCACAAGGGACATGGAGTGACAGGACTCAATGTTGCAGTGGTAAAGTGAGGTGCCTCAACTCCATTGCTGAGATAAGAAAATAGGGTTGAGGGAATGTCACTTTTGCGTATGTAGATAGTGGCAAAACATTTCCCCGTAACTTTGTTAGCTCCAGCATCCATGTTTATCTTTATTACCTTTATTTTTCTACTTCCTGGCCGAAGGCATTTCCTTCACTTGGGCCTAATGTCAGCATATGTGTGTGCCAATGTCATTCATTACTAAATCCTGATTAAACTAAAAAATAAAAATTAATTTGGACCAAAGGATGTTGTTATTCATTTAAAATTACACTGCTTGTCTGCACGTGCGTGCCAGGTTCCCTGGTGCAGAGCAGGAGAGCTGGCTCAGCTGGAGAAGCACTTTCTGTCCAGTCAAGAGGACAGATTCCCCAGAACCCATGTAAAAGCCAGATGTGGAGGTCTACAATCCAGCATAGGGGAAGCCGTATCCTTGGAGTTTGCTAGCTAAAAGTAAGATGGAGTGACTAAGGTGGACACTTGATACCGACCTCTGGCCTTTGACATTCAAACATACAGGTACATAAACATATCAATACACACTATTCCCTGGTGCTGCTGCTGTAACACAGATCACTGCCAGTTCCCTTGTATAACCTGAGCAGAAGGATCATGATTAACTATGCAAGGATGGGCTGACAAAGCCAGGTTCCTCCGTGGTACCCATTTGTGGAGATGCTGTGCCACTCGCTGCGGTACTGTCAGACCCCCACAGATGTCACCATTCGATGTCCTCACCCTCCGGTCCTTCAACTTTCCACTGAAGCCTGTTTCTGATTTTGAAGTGGTTATGCCTGTAAGTCCTGTTTGCCTATCTCTTCACCAATGCTGCCTCAGACTGTGGAGCAATGCCTCTGAAACGCTCCACTGTGCTTAAACAGTGAAAACATCAGAGCATTCACAAGTCTAAGCACAGAGCAGCACACTCTGAGGAAAGGCTAAGCAGTTCAAATCTAAAGAAGCAAGCCAGAACTCTAAATGCTTGCGGGCCACAGGGTACAAGCTCCTAAAAGCCATTGTGCTGTGTAGTGAATGCAGTCTTGGCAGTTCCTTAGCTCACGGCCACTACAGGTCTAGAATCAAATTAATGCAGCTTTACTATGGCAAAGCCAGTTCTCTATGCCTTCAGGATACAATATTACAGTGTTTACCTTCACCGAAGACTTCAGCTAGAAAATATTAATTCAAAGCTTGCCTGGTCTACTTGAGTTCCAGGCCAGCCAGGGCTACACAGCGAGACCCTGTGTGTGTGTATGTGCTGTAGTGGGGGGGGGGGGGGGGGCACTAGGGTGGACACTGAAACCATTGTGCAATGACACAGAAGGTGAAAAAGCCCTGACAACTTGGTTCAGTCTTCCTAAGATGCAGTGAGGAAGATCCCAGAAATCTGTCTTGACCTCCACATGTGCCCCCACACACCTGTCCCCACCATATAACAATATTAAACGACTTGAAAACCAATAGTATCTATCTTCTACTCAATCTGTCGGGACAATTTCAATTTAAAGCTGTGTGCTATTACAGAATTGTTAAGATCAGAACTAAAGGCTAGCTCCCCACTATGTTTTACCAGCTGCAATGGCTGACCATGGTTGTCAATCTAAAATAAACTAAAAACCCAAGCAGCTGGGCTAGGATTTTAGATAGGAAGACCTACCCTAAATGTGGGCCACACCTTCTAGTGGCAGCCCACACAAAGGGCGTGAAAGGAAGCATTTGCTCCTTGTCTGCCCACCCTCTCCCTGAGGCATTCCTCCTCCAGTGCTAGAACCTGTTTCTTTTTAAAAAAAAAAAAAATATTTTATTATGTATACAATATTCTGTCTGTGTGTATGCCTGCAGGCCAGAAGAGGGCACCAGACCTCATTACAGATGGTTGTGAGCCACCAGGTGGTTGCCGAGAATTGAACTCCAGACCTTTGGAAGAGCAGGCAATGCTCTTAACTGCTGAGCCATCTCTCCAGCCCAAGAACCCATTTCTTTAGTAGTCTTCATGAAGACTGAGGACCAGCTGAAACATCCCTGTGGACTGGACTATTGAGTTCTTGGCCTTTTTGTCAGGCATCCATTGTTAGACTACCTGGACCATAGCCTTGTAAGACCCTCTAATGAACCCCTTTCAATACATATAACTCATTCTATCCGTTCCGTTATTTCTCTAGAGAACACTAAGGCACCCGCACTCTAAAGCTTTCAAACATTCATCCTAAGAACCTGAAATGTAATAGGAACAAGGTTTCTGAACGGCAGCTGTTCACGCCTGGACATTATGAGAAAGCTGATCTAAACGGCAAAGACTGCTCAAAGAGACTCCTTTACTTCAGAGAGTAGATGGAGCATGTGAAATCCATTCAAGCTATGCAAGCTCCCAAGTACAAAAGGCTGGTGCCACCACAGCTGCTGAGGCCACATTACATGGGGTATGGCACCACCTTGTGGTCACTCTCAAACAAACCACTTGTTACCAGGGCAATCCCAAGTCTGTTTTCAAACGTCCTCAAAGGACACCACATTCTGGTCACTTTTATAATTTTATTGATTTTTTTTCCTCTTCACATCTTTTAAACTAGAAATAGCACATGAACAACAGCTGCTTCTCCCCAAAGCTTCAATTCAATTGATTGCCTCAGAAAGGCCATCAGAACAGTGTCTCTTGGGGCTACAGGTCAGGTATGCTTGCTTGCCTCGCCCTGGGTTCAATGCCCAGCACTGGAGAGAACGGGACTAAACAAAACTACAAACCAAACGCTAAAACACTGCCTTTTTACCCCCTGAAATACTACTGTAGACCCACCAGCCCCAAGTTCAAGTTTCTGCCCACAAGACAGCCAGTCAGTCATCAAAACCACTGTCAGTCAGACTCCTCTCCACTTGCCCCTTCCATCAGCTAAGCCTGGGCTGACGGCTGTCTTTCGGGGTAGTGATATCGGAAAGAGCAGTCGAGGTCTACAGTCACCTCCCATCCACCAGCTGGCCAGCCGGGATATTATCTCCTCCACACACTCCCACCCCAAACTACCTTTATCTCCTCCTTCTTTAAAATGTGCTGCTTTGCTTCAGTTTCACCAAACAATGGCTGCAGTGTCCACTAACCTGCCTGAGAAGTGGTTTGAGTCTGATGTCATTCCTGAGTTAAAAATGAGGAAAAGTGAAGCTGTGGCCTTCCTGCCACAAGATCAAGAAAGGCTCTGGAGGGTAGTTCTGGGAAGAAGTAGACTCCATTCCAAAAGAAGAGTGTTCTAGCTGAGGGTATAAAGCAGACATCCTGGGGTCGAGGGACAGTGGAGGGGGAGAACACATTTATTTTCCCCTTTTAAACTTCCCAGCTCCCCCAGTCTTTGCTTTCTTCTTAGCGGGTCCCTTGGGTTCTGGCTCCTTGCGCTTGGCGGAGGAGAGAGAGCCAGTCACCTTGAAGAAATCATCGAGACGGCCCTGGGTGCTGCCCTGGCGGCTCTTACTCAGCCGCTTGACCCCACTGCGAATTCGCTCCTCAGAAAACTGCTTTTCACCACACATGAATTTGACCAACTCTTCTTCATTCGGCTCGCTCCACTTCAGCTCCACAGACTCTGGGTCCAGCACCTCAGGCTCCAGGAAGAGCTGCTGCGCTTCTTTGTGGAGCCAGTTCTCTGGAATGGGGTACTTGTTGGGGTCCAGCCGCCGCACGATCTCCTCGATGCTCTTATGCTTCTGGATGAGGTCCACAGCCCGCTTGGGCCCAATGCCCCGGATGCTCTCACAGTAGTCACTTCCCAGCAGGATGCAGAGATCCACAAACTGCTCCTGGTTCAGACCCAGCTCCTGCAGGACTCGGCTCAGGTGGAACTCCTGGATGGGCAGCTTCTTGGCCTCACTGGCAGTCAGATGTCGCATTAGTACAGGGCTGCCAAAAGTGAGGCAGTCCATGTCCTCGGTGGCTGCAGCATAGACTTTGCCAGCCTTCACCAGGGCAGCGCAGCTAGCCTCTGCTTCACTGGGTGCATCAAGGTATGGGATGCCCATGAGACTCAGCAGGTGTTTGCACTCATCATTGTGTTGCTTGGTAACCTTCACCAGCCGCTTTGTGAACTTTTCCACCTCCTCCTCTACCCCAGCCTCCTGAGCCTGCTGCAGCTGCTTCTCGGCCTCGGCGCGCCTCTCACTGCGTTTGGCCAGCTCACCTGACTTGAGCTGTGGTGGCTTGCCATCAAAGACATATACAGGCTTGATGCCATTCTCCATCATGCGGATGGTACGGTAGAACATGCCCATCAGGTGGCTGGTGGTCTCCCCCTCCTCATTCTGCAGCACATCCCCACCCTGACGAACAGCAATCAGGAACTGGTAAATGCTCATAGAGGCATCAATGGCCACCTTGCGACCGAAGTAGCTCTTGATGTCATTCTCCCGGATGGCACTGGGAGCCACATCAGCAATCAGTTTGGCAAGGCCTTGAATTCCCATGGTAACACAGGAACAATGGCTAAAACAAAGAAAGACAAATAAGAAGGGGATCTTGGAGGACAAAAGGAACAAAGACTATACCTGGCAGCATTCACCAAATTCACGTTTAATCAAATTTAACATGAAACACAACAGGACTTCATTCAAGCCAGCAGAGCAGAAGATGCAAGGGTGAACAAGATGCATCATTCAAGATCTACAGCACACCCAATTAACAAGCAGGCCTCCTAAGCATCAGGGGCTGATCTGGGTGCTTCGGGAACTGAGACCATGGATGTTCTTGGATAACTTAAGGGCTCCAAATAACAATAGCACAATCTGTCATGCAAAGAATGACTTCAACTTTCATCAGCATCAAGGATCATAATGGCAGAAGTGAGCCCTCAAGAGCAGGTAAATACCAGCTATGCAAACTGGCTATGTCTGATTTATTATTTCCCTACAGATGTCTAACTGATGCAACACTTCTGAATGAGGACCAAGTGGCCATCTCACATGCTCTAGCCCTCCCTTCAGAATCTCCCTCAGCACCTAAGAGTTTGTTTTTAGCAAGATGCTGGAGGAGTTTGAAGTCTTCCTGTTTGTACTTTCTTCCAACACTAAGTCTGAACCATGAACCTCATGACTCCTCCAACATGACCTGAATTAGGAGCTGGCAAGCTGTAGTCAGAGCCCAATACTACAATTCTGTAGTTCAAAATTTCCATCAGATTGTTCCTAGGGCAGTGATTTCAAAACTATCCTCACAATTTTTCCCCTTCCAACTGAAATAGAATTTTCCTTCATCTAATATTTTTCTTTAAATGGACTTTAAATAAAAGAAAAGGGGGGCCAGTTATGAGTGATAACACATGCCTTGGGGGGGTGGTGTCAGGGTTTCTATATGTAGCCTCAGATGTCCTCAAATGAGCTCTGTAGACCAGGCTGGCATTGAACTCAGAGATCTGCCTGCTTCTGTCTCCTGAGTGCTGGGATTAAAGATATGTATGACTATGCCTGGCTTTTAAAGATTTTTCTTGTTTTGAGACACGGTTTCTATGTGTAACAACAGCTCTCTGGCTGTCCTGAAATATGCTCTATAGACCAGATTGACCTTAAACTCAGATATGACTATCTCTGCCTCCTGAGACACTAGTGACTTACACCTTTAATCCCAGCATTTGGAAGGCAGAGAATTTGAGTTCAAGGCCAGCCTAGTCAATATATCAAGTCCCAGGCCAGCCAGGGTTACAGTAAGACCACGTCTCAAAAAAACAAACAAAAACTTAAGTTGGGAAAGAGAATCCAACTTAAGCAAAAATATCTGCTATGTGTCGGGTGGTGGTGCACACCTTTAATTCCAGCACTTGGGAGGCAAAGTCAGGTGGATCTCTGTGAGTTCGAGGCCAGCCTAGTCTACAAAGTGAGAGCCAGGACAGCTGGGAATACACACAGAGAAACCCTATCTTGGGAGGGAGGGGAAATCTGCATGTATCAGTAGTCATATTTTAATGTGTTAAACGCATAATAAAAGAATTTTCTAAGAGGTAATTTACTAACACCGTCATGCTTGTCCAATGATAGTACTGCCATACAATAGGAAAATCCTATCAATTCTTCTAATTGTTCCCAACCTTACTTCATGGTGTCTTCCTGAAACCTAAGTGACACTTATACTCCCCCTCCTGGATGCAAACATCTCAGCAGGCATAGCACCTGTAGAGTATGGAAGCCTAATTGAAAGCCCCGCCTCTCTCTTTTGTTCAGCTGTGTCTTCCTCCTGCCAACCTTTCTCACTTCTTCCTGGCTTATATTATTGAGGTTCCCCTATGAATACAAGCAGCAAAAGTTCAGCCTTAGGGCTGAGGAATGTAGCTCACTGGAACAGCAGCTTTGCCTAGCAAGGATGAAAATCCAGACTGAATCCCCAGAAATCAAATAAAAAGCCCAGCTTTGGGTCGGGTGGTGGCGATGCATGCCTTTAATCCCAGCACTTGGGAGTGAGGCGTATCTCTGTGAGTCCCAGGTCAGCCTGTTCTACAAAGAAAGTTCCAGGACAGACTCCAAAGCTACACAAAGAAACCTGTCTCAAAAAACAAAACAAAGCCCCAAAAGCCCAACTTGGAATCCGGCCACCACCCGTGAAACCATTTGGTGTGTTGAGCTTGTGTAACAATGGGAACTAGGGTCTGGAGAGATGGGTCAGTGGTTAAGAGCACTGGCTGCTCTTCCAGAAGACCCGGGTTCAATTCCCAGCACCCACATGGCAGCTCACAACTGTCCCTAACTCCACTTCCAGGGGATCTGACACCTTCACACCAATGCACATAAAATAAAGTTAAATTTAAAACAAAACCAAAACAATGTGGACTGACCTAGGAACTCACACATGCTAGTTCTAGCAAGTTCTCTACACTGTGCCACATCTTCAGCTCTGTGAAACACAATTAAATCACTTATTCTGTGGTCTGAGTTGTAAAATAAGAACCATTTCTGCCTTGCAGAACCAGTCAACCGACACACCGGATGGAAGCACACATCACCAGATGCTGTGCTGATGTTCCCCCATTCAATTCTCTGCTTCACGCCTCACTTACTGCTTTGCTAGAATGAGTACCAGACGGTCCCCATCGTGTCAGAGGGGAACTTGTTCTGTCCAGATAGCAAAGCCTTAAATGAAATGAATCTTTCAGACTTCCCTTCTCCAGAAATGTCTTTAGGGCTTTTCCCACACCTCCCACAGCCAGAAATAAAAGAAAGTGTCTCAGGGGCTGGAAAGACGGCTCAATGGTTAAGAACACTGGCTGCTCTACCAGAGACGGGTTCAATTCCCAGCACCCATGCGGCAGCTCATACCTGTCTTTAACTCCAGTTCCAGGGCTTCTGACGCCCTCACACATGCAGGCAAAACATCAATGAACATAAAATAACAAAAAAGAAACCAGCCTGGTCTATAAACAACAACAAGAAAAAGCAGGGTTTCTTGATGTCATTTCCTTAGTGGTACAAAACCTCCTCGGAGCTCCATACTCGTCACAAGGGCCCTCAGAGAAACAGGCTGTGGTCTCTCCGGTGGACTGAAGTTCTGCTTCAGAGTTCCCCTCCGAACTGCAAGCTAACAAACTCGTCGCCTCTCTCGAATCCCATTTCTCCCCCAAACCTAGTAATACCCTGGTAGCCGTCTTCCTCTCGCAGTACCCCGCAGACGCAGGCACGAAAGGGGACTACTGAACAAGTCGTTTCTAGCGTTTTTGGTACAGAGCCTTGGTCCTCATAGGGAAAGGTTATCACCTTCGTACCGCTGCAGAGAGAGAGACTCGGGGCAGCGCGACTGGTCCAAGGCCGGGGCCGCCTACTGCTGCACCCGCGGTCCTCGCAGCTCTCAGAGCCGCTTCCGCGAGGCCTCACCCTACCTTGACCGCACGAGGCCTCTGCAGCTAGCGGTGCTCCGGCGACCCCACCGTACTCAGGACAGTCACGACCCCTTCTTCTGACGTTGAGGCGAAGTCGTTTCGCCTTCCAAAGCCCGCGCTCCAATCACGTGACCCGCCCGCCGCGAACAACCTTCTGGGAAATGTAGTACTGGCTCCGTCACTTCCGACAGCAGCTTTCATGGTGGGTCTTATTTCCGGGAAAAATGGATTAAAACAGAGACCCTGCACTACCCTCTCCCATAGTCCGACCGCAGGCCCTCGAACCAAGTCCTCATAGTCCCAGTCACCTCTACAGCCGAAACCGCAGGACTACAAGTCCCACAATGCCACGCGCGAGGGACCACATCCTTTTCCTTTTGCTTAACGCGCTTGCTTCTGCCGACGTGTTCTTCCGGTGGTGGACCGGTGGTTTATCGTGTGCGGGGCAAAATGGTGAGATGGTGGGAGCTGCTGACAGGGCTGTGGGCCAGGATCCCTGGGTTCCCGATCCACATCGCGTTCTTTCGCGGAGTTCTTAGCATTCCGTGACCCGAGGGTGGGTCGCTGCTGGAGCCGTGTTTGAGTTGGGGACGGGGACAGCAAGCCCCTTGCCATGGATTTCTCAGACAGAGGGTTCCATCACAATGGGCTTATGATATTGTTGATTATAAGGCTGAGGGGCGTAGGGTGCACTTTGAATACCTTCACGCTTTTATTTATCTTTCTTCTGATCAGTTATCTCTATCTGGAAAGTTTCCCTTGCCGAACTCATCTCGCAAGGCCCTTGGATGTATGTCATTACCTGGTGAAACACTTGAAACCCTCATAGGCACTTGTCTGTCTTCTGGGAGCTCTCACAGTCTCTGTACACCTCCTGCCACGTTTCATGGACTTCTCTTTTATTTGCCACGCCTCCTAGTGACCACCATCTGACGTGCATTTAGTTCTGGGATAATGTCTATTCATCTTTGTATTCCTGTTGTCAAACACTGGGCCTGCAATTGGAGGCTCCATAAATGGCAGCAATTGTCTTTGACTTTTTTAGGGGGGCACGGGGGACATAATTGTTTACTGAATTGAATTCCTGTGTCTCTTAGAACAATGGGTTCAGTTTACTCCTCTGGAGTTGTTATGTTCTGGACTTTAGAAGCATTGGCTGGCAAGTGACAATGGAAGTTAACATTTGTACAGAACTTTACGTTTATATCCCTTTCACGGGCATTATCTCATGAGCTTCTCTGCAGTCTTAGGAAGGAAACAAATACCTATTGAGCAGTTACTTTATGCGGGGCAGTAAACCAGATGTGTCAACATTTATCATAAGTCTTTCTCCAATTACGCATCAGACCTATGAAACAAATACTGGTATAACTACTTAACTCAAACCCCAGTGATTCAGTAAAGCTATTATCACCAGTTATCTTCTGCCAGAAGATCCCTGTGGTTCCCTCCTAATGTGGTGAAAAAAGTGCTCCTGAATTAGAGCTTGATATCTGTGTAGTGGTCTAGGTTTTGGCTTCCTGCACAGATTAGTGCTTTAGAGTCTGGACACAAGTCCAAAAGCAATGGAAATTGTGGGCAAGCTTTTTCTTTCTTTCTTTTTTTCTTTTAAGTTTATGTATGTATTTCTTTTAACTTATGTATATGTATTATGTATACAATATTCTGTCTGTGTGTATGCCAGCACACCAGAAGAGGGCACCAGATCTCATTACAGGTGGTTGTAAGCAACTGTGTGGTTGCTGGGAATTGAACTCAGGCCCTCTGAAAGAGCAGCCAGTGCTTTTAACCTCTGAGCCATCTCTCCAACCCAGCACGCGTTTTCTTTATGTGTTTTTTTCTCATACAGATCCATGATTGTCTTAGTGATCACTCTCTAGAAAGTCCTAAGAGTCTCTATCCCTTTGTATGCCTGAGCCCCTAGCTCAGTTGCATTTCTTCTTCTTTTTCTTCTTCTTCTTCTTCTTTCTTATTTTCATTTTATGTGCATCAGCATTTTGTCTCTGAGGATGTTGGCTCTTGGAGTTGTGGACAGTGGTGAGCTGTCATGTGGTAACTGGGAATTGAACCATGATTCTCTGGAAGAGTAGCCAGTGCTCTTAACCACTGAGCCATCTCTCCAGCCCCTCATCTGCTCTTCTTATCTCGCCGAAAGAAAAGCTGTAGCCTCCGCTTTTTTGTTATTTTGTTTGTTTGTTTTTTTCTCAGTCCTGGGGCTCACACCGAAGACTTGGCACACACTATGCAAAAGCAAATGCTCTACCACAAAGTCTGCCACGTCCCTACTTGTAATTGTAAGGCTGGAGAGATGGCTCAGTGGGTAAGAGGGTTTGGCATACAAGTCTAACAACCTAAGTGGGGATCCTAGAATCCACATTAGTTTTAAAGCCAGGTGTGGTAATTCCAGGACTCATATAGCAAGGTGGAAAATGGAAGCAGGAAACCTGCTCAGAAGCCTGAGGGCCAACTCACCTGGAGTGCATGTCACAGTGACCCAGAAAACAGAAATGAGAGAGGCCTCGCCTCAAACACAGCAGAAGATGACTCTCAGAAAGTTGTCCTTTGACCTCCACAAATTTGAAAAGAAAGTGAGTAGGGAGGCTGATCTGCAAAATGGTTCAGCAGGTTAATACACCTGCTGTCAAGCCTGGTGACTTGAGGTCAGTCCCTGGGATCCACATAGTAGAAGGAGAAAACCAACTTTTGACGTTGTCCTCTGACCTCCCATGTGCTCGATGATAACCTGCACCACACACATGCAGAGTAGATAAATGTAATATAAAATTTTTAAATGCACACACATATATCCATATATATGTGTATAGACACAAGCATACACACACATAAAATTATTGTAATTTCCATTCCCATAGTGAATTACTTGAAGGAGTTCTGCATTTCTGAGGCTGAGGTGTGCCTCTAACAGTCTTCCGCATTGCATGGCTGCTCCAGGGTCTGCCCAGATTGAAACTAAAATTGATCTCCTTTCTTCCTTAGGAGCTCGAGGCCATGAGTAGGTATACCAGCCCTGTCAACCCAGCCGTCTTCCCACACCTGACTGTGGTACTTCTGGCCATTGGCATGTTCTTCACCGCCTGGTTCTTCGTGTATCCTTTTACTGAGCAGCCAGGGAGCTAGAGTTAGTGGCCTAAGAACTGAGAGAGAAACCACACTGGGTAACTGCACCCTGCTACATTTCCCTTTGAGGTGGGGTTGGGACAAGGTGAATATAGGGAAAGGCAAGCCTTGGCCTCACTTTCCAATCTCAAGTTAGCTGTTTGCTCTTGAGACTGAACTAAGTTTCGAAAGGAGGTTTGTTGATATTTAGGGGGGGTTGTTTTGAGACAGGGTCTCACTGTGCAGACATGACTGACCTGAAAGCTCATAGAGGTTCACTGCCTCTGCCTCTGGAGAGTGCTGGGACTGCACCTCTCAACCCAGCAGAAAGGTCTTAGGCAGGGGTGTGTTCAAGTGTCAGAAAGTGGCGTCAGTATTAGCTGTACTGTGAGATGTGATTAGAGGTGATTGGCCTAACTACTGTGGTCTTCTTTCCCTCGTGGGTGTTAGAGGTATGGTATGGAACATCAGGGCCTGTGTCATCTCTTGGTCCCCTCTGCTTGGCAGCACCAAGCCAGACAAGCCTCCAGGAAGCCCTTAGCCTGTGTTCCCCATGTTGAGTGGTCCTAGACAGTGCCTGCGCTGTAGTCCATCTTTGCTTCTCCTTTTTGCTTTTTTTTTTTTTTGGTTTGTTTTTCTTTGTTTGTTTGTTTGTTTTTCAAGATAGTTTCTTTGTGTAGCCCTGACTGTGCTGGAACTAGTTCTGTAGACAACTGGTCTCAAACTCACAGATATCTGTCTGCCTCTGCCTCCCAAGTGCTAAGATTAAAGGTGTGCGCCAGCTCTCTTGGCTTCTCCTTAACAGTCCTCCTAGTTACGAGGTCACCTCCACCAAGTACACTCGTGACATTTACAAAGAGCTCCTCATCTCCTTGGTGGCGTCACTCTTCATGGGCTTTGGAGTCCTCTTCCTCCTGCTCTGGGTTGGCATCTACGTATAAGTCCCCAAGGGTAAGAGCTGTAGTAACAAGATGGTACATTCCTGAAGAAGCCTCCTCCAGCCATATCAGTGGGTCCTCTCTTTCCTGATTCATGGAGACTGAAACACTCTCCCCAGTCCTCTGTGTGATCTGGTGTGTCAGTTCTGAGTTCTCCATATTACTCAAGGCCTCACTCAAGCTTGGGCTGCTCTTGGTAGGCATGCGGGTGAGGGCTACCTGTGTTTTTACATCTGTGTTCTTTCAAGTTATACTAATGACTTAGAAAGGATCTGGGAAGTAAGAGATGAGCACCAAACAGATGACCCCTTGCATAGCCCTTGCTCAAGGAACACAGGGCTACGGGGGGGGGGGGGGGGGGGGGGGGGGTGTAGAAGGTCATTGGTCTCATTCTTGATTCTGCACTCTGCTTTCCTCTTCCAGGTACCCACCAGGCAGCTTCACCAAGTCCCTGCTTTTGTAAATTAATTTTTTACCATTGCTACAAGTGTCCCAACTGCTGTTTACAATAAAGGCAGATGTGTGACTAGCCGGCCTCATGTCCATTCCATGGGGATGGGGGAGTGGGGTGTGGAGGTACGGGAATCTCCTGGAGTATCCTTGACTGTTTTTCCACACTTCTCTGCCTTTCACCAGTACCTGTTGCTGAGGTTTGCATTGTCTCCCCCGGGGCAAGGACAGTGTCATCTTGTCATTGCTGTGAGGCTTGCCTGTGAGCAGGAAGGACCCAGACCTGTTTCTGTGGATTTGGATGGACTTCTGCAGGGCCCAGCAGCAATCAGTTTTGCCCTGGGCCAGTCTTCTCTGAACTCAGCCCCACTTTGGGCTGTGGTTGTGTAGGCTCAACCTGTTTTCTTCCCTTAGGTGGATTCTTTCTAGGTGGGAGGGGCAGGTTCATGAAGAAGGTTTGCTGGAGGTGTATGTGGCCAACCCCACCCTCAAATCCAAGAATGAGGGGCTTAAAGATATGGAGTGACTTTCTGGTCCTCTGGTGTGGGAACCAGGATATTCTAGGCGCCTCAGAAACTGGATTCTAGCCAGCCTGGCCTCAGATGGCTTCCCTTCCACCAGAAGAATCCCAAGAAGACACCAGGAGGCAAGTTCAGATACAAAGCAGTATTTATACATTTATTTATATATGTATATTTACTTGAGAAGAAAAGGATAGTTT